CGGGGGGCTTGAACTCATGAACCATGAAAGTATGACCTGAGCCGAAGGCGGTCGCTTAACCAACTGAGCCACTCAGGTGCCCCTAGGCCTAGGGGATTTGGATAGTGGGATTATGCATAATATTTCTTCTACTTTTCTATATGCTCTTTATTTCCTACAGAAATTTTTTTTAATATTTATGTAAAATTATATTTATGAAACATGATATTGCATGTAAATATAAATAAATAATATATGCATATGTGATAAATATGTTATATATAAGATATATATAACAAGCTTTAAAAAAAATGCCTGAAAAGATCCATTACAAGATTTTGTCTGTGGTTTTCTCCATGCAGTACAGGCAAATCAGGGTAGTAACACTTTAGCTTTTTAGCTAATAGCCTTTCCCAGCATATGTTACTTTTGTGATTTTAAAAGATTAGAAAGAAAAAAAAAAAAAGGAAGGTTTGACAATCCACTTAGCATTTAGGCTGTAAACCAAGTTTGCAACTGTTAAGTTCAAGGCTTGCCATCTCATGCCTTAGGAAAGTTTCAGTGACTTGGGGGACTTGGTTAAAATAGATCTCACTAGTGTCTTGTGGCTTTAAGTGGGGACATATTTAAATGGGTCACCCTGCAGCTGGCAAAATAGAAGCCCCAGGAAATGGAAACTATAACGTTAGAATCCCAAGACAAGGCGCCCAGACTTGGCTGCTGTGGGTGGACACTTAAAAGGGTCAGTCCTCCCCACCCCACTCCCAGACCACACTCATAAATAAATACAAAGGAAATACTTTCCCAAGAGAGCCGGCCTCTCTCCCTTGGCCTCTGACCTCCCTAAGCGGCCGTTTCCTACAGCCCAGAGGCCTTTCTCGGCGCCAGTCCATACCAAGGTTTGCAAAAGCGACCAGGCAGGACTCGAACAGAAGCACCTGGCCGTCCCGTCCCGGCCGGGGCCCCGGCCTAGCGGCGCAGAGGGACGCCTGTCGCCTTCGCCGCCACCGCCACTGCCCGAGCCTCTCTCCCAGCCGGTCCTGCTTAGAGCTCCGCAGCGCCCCGTGACTCAAGACCAGGTCACACGGAGCTTATCTAGCTCCAGGTGTGCTCGCTCCGACTGCACGCTTCTCACATGACATCAGCCGGCCGGCCGGCCCAACCGCCCGCCGGCTCCGGCTCCCTTGGAACCCGCGGCGCTCAGCACTTCCAGGCAGCCGGCCGGTGCAGCCGCAGCCCCGCGGCGCCTCCCGCCGAGATACCGTCTCCCCTGGAACGCAGCGATCCCGCAGGCCCCGGCAGGAACGACGCGGGAGACGTGCCAGGAGCGCGGCCAGGTCCCCAGCTGCTCTTCCAGGTGCACCTCCTCAGCCCCAGGAGGGGTTTGCCGCAGTCCGCTGGGCGCTAGACTCCGCTAACCACCCCTACACGCCCCCTTTCTGTGTGACCTTCAGCAAGTCCCGTCCCTCTCTAGGCCTCAGCTATTTCAACTATAAAGCCTCCATGGGCCTGAGAGTTCAGACTTGGCCAGGAGCCCTTACCTTTGCCGGGAGAGGTATTCTGCTCAACTACAAATTGCAGGTTCTAAATCCTGCTCTGCCTCTGAACTGCTGTGTGACCTTGAGCCCATCATCCAACATCTCTGAATATCAGAGGATAATAAAAATAATCCCCTGTAAGCGATGGTGAAGTACCTGGCAGAGAGAAAGGGCCAAGGGCCTTGTAAAACCCTCAGCCCTCAGTTTAAACTGCTGCCTGACTATAGGCTCTTTGAAACGTCAAGGGAATATGGATAATTGACAAGCCGCACCACTCCCACCTCAAGGACAGTGAGGTGGGGAGAGGAGTGGAGGCTTTCCAGTTCTGCTCCCCACCCCTCCCAATCCGGCTCCCAACAACACTCTCTAATTCAGGCTACCTCAGAAAATGCTGAGGGGGGGGAGGGGGTGGGGATGGGGTGCAGTGAGCAGATCTTAAAGCACCCAGGGGCCTGACCCAAAGTAGAACTTCAAGCCCCCAGCCCGAGTCCTGGGGGAACCTGTTAATCATAGCACAGGGTGGGCTGGGCCCTCCCATACCCTTGAAACTTTAAACTACACCAGGTCAGAGCCCCTCCCCTTTACCCACCACACCCGGGAGAGGCCTGGGACAAGGCCTGGGGCCCAGAGCCACCAACAGGACCCGGCTCACATGGATGATCTAGTTCCCGTCTGTGGCGTCCACTTCAGGTGAGGGGGGTCTGGCTGGGGACAGACGTCTGGTTTAGAAGGAGCAAAAGCAGCCGTGCTGCTCTGGAGACCTGTGACACACCAAGTCCGGATCAGGGCTTCCTGAGTTCCAGCAACTAACTCCCTGCTCCACCCGAGTAGGGTGGATTCTCCCTGTCACACTAGCCCCAGTGCTGCCCCACCCAGTCCAGCTTCAGGTACCTGCCTCTGGGGGACCCCGCACATTTCAGGCCCGATTTCTGAAGACACACGCACCCTTTAATGAGCAGCCTCAAGCTAGGCCGGTGAGGGGGGCTCCAGGCAACAGGCTGGCTACCCAGACTCCCAGGGAATGAGGTGGAGGCACCAGGCAGGAGGCAGGAGGGGCACAATCCACGTGAGGGCTTCTGAGGAGAGCCAGGGGCACCGGAGGAAGCCCTTAGGCACACACCCTGGCACCTGAGCCAGGCCCGCAGAGGGTAAACAAACTAGATACTCAGAGCTGCCAGGCACCAGGTCAAGTGTTCAAAGTTCAAAGCTTCCAAAGGAAGTGACCACCAGCACTCATTCTATCCCTCCCACATTCCCCCTTCCACCCCCACCTGTGATCCTTCTCATTTCCCTAACCCTCCAACACAATAGCTTCCCCCATGGTCTTCCTGGAATATGAGGCCCCAACTCCAATGTCCCCAACCCCAAAGGAACAAGCACACCTCCACCCGAGGCTATCTATAATTAGTCATGTCCAGCAACCAGGAGGATGTTTCCTGGAAAGCCCTCATCACAAAAGGACAGAGGGGAAGCTGAGGAGGTGGCAGGCCATTGACAAAGAGCCAGTGAGGTCTGTCAGGAAGCCAGAGACCTCAGGAGAGCAACTTTCAATATCCCCAAATAGAAAGTAGCCTCTGAACCAAAAGGGTGGGGAAAGTTAGACAAGGCCTGGCCCATTGCCATGCCAACAGGAAACCGACCTGCCCAAGAAAGGGCTCCAGAACTGGTAAGAACGTGGAAAGGTGATCTTGCTCTTAACTGGTTGACCTTCCCTCCCTTCCAGCATGGACCCAATGCATACACACTTCGGGCAGTTCACTCTCCTTATGGGGAATTACAAGGCCTCCTCAGCAACAGACATGCCAGGTACTCCAAAAGACAAATGAGCCCACACAAACCAGCCTGAATCATTGGCCAGGTGAAGGGGGAGAGGGAACCCAATTCCATAATTTTGGGAGTCCGTCAGAGGGCAGGAAGGCTCCAGGCAGGAGAGCTCCTCCCAAGAAGCATTGTCCCCAACCTCTGCACAAACACAAACCAAGAGGACACTGCCAAATACATGCCCGGTTGGCCAAGTGAGTAGGCAAAAGCAGTACCCTTAAAAAATACACCGTCTGCCTCCCCCCCACCCCCCCCCCCCATTCATTCTGGCTGGCAGCCTTTCCAACTAATCAGCAGGACACATGTGCCTTGCAACAGGGTGACATCCCCATCCCCCCTCTCTGCCCCCAACAAAGCCCCAATGTGTGCTATGTCCCTGCAGGCCTTATCTCAGCCAGGAACATGACCCACTCCTCACCATGCTTGGTACCAAGCTGCACCCCCACCCCCCACCACCCCCACCACAGGGGTGTGGAGCAGCTAACCTTACCACCTCGCCTCCCCATTGGCGAGACAACTGGCATGACAGGTTAGCAGGGCGGGGCGTCAGGGCAGTCTCTCCCAGAGGCCTGGGGCAGGCTGTCCGACCTTCCCACACACACCCCACCCCTTTGCAGGGAAAGGTGAGGTGAGCAGCCAGTCACAGGGGACAGGCAGCACTCCCTAATCTCCAAAGCCTACCATTCACTCACCCCCGTCTTCTGTCCCAAGGGGAGGGGGCCTGGGGAAGCGGGGTCTCCATTGTTTTGCCAGCTGTCTAGCAGCTGCTCCTTTGAGAGGAGCCCGCTGTCGGCCTGGCAGTGAAAGGGTGAAGGCCGCTGGGAGGGATAAAGGGTTCGGTGGAGGTGCTCGCCTTCCCCGCTGCCTTCCTCGGAGCCTCGCTCGGTCGGTCGGTCGGTCGGCCTGGGGGGGAGGGGGGGCCTGGGCCTGGCCCCGAGAAGCCCCCTATCCCGGAGGCTGCAGCCTCCACCCCGCAGCCCGGGGCCACCTGGGCTCCCCTCAGCCCTCAATCCCCCTAAACCGAGGGCCACCCTGCCCTGCCTCCGCGCGCTCCCGAGCTGGCACAAGGGGCCGGAGCTCCCCTCCCCGCCCCTCCTTGTCGGCCCCCATTCCCGGGCGCCCAGCTCCGCGGCGCGGCCGGGGACCGGAGCCGGGAGTCCGGGCCGCCGCTTCCAGCGGACAGTGGGGGAGGAGGAGCCGGCGGGCCCCGCCGCCCGCCCGCCCGCCTTCCCGGCCCGAGCCCGCCCCGCCGCCCC